ATTTCAACAGCCCTAGGCTACCTTATACGTGGTAGAGCCACGTTGCAGCTACATTACAGTTGTAGCACCAATGAGTGAGCTCGATCGCGGAAGCACCACGCTCTCACAGAATACCAGCCTAAAATAGCAGCTTAATACTGCTGTGTTTCGTATGGTGAGGGTAGAGATCCCATTATACCCTTTTTTACTGGAAGTGAGGCATTGCATCTTAGTCCTCAGGGGTGACAACGCATCTGCCTTTTGATTCTTAATCGAGGATAGATGTAGATGTCTATGGGCCACAGCATTCACTTACCATCAGGTGGACTGGGTGCTCGTTTGTCACCCTTATTCTTAAAAAAATCTATGAATATGTGCTCCTCGCCACGAATACATTTATTGGATTTTTATATTTTACTAGATTTACACCCCATGGTTTCGCCTATATTAAATCAAATTTTCCTGATAGTAATTGTCGATCATCACCCATGAACAACAGCAACAGCAGGAAAATTTCAGGTGCGTTGCCTGCCTTTTTAAAAGCAGTAAGCTTGTATAGAAATCTTGTGAGGAAGAACACTCCTAGTATATCGCAAAGTCTTGGTGGACTGCCAAACATCCAGTTGGTGTGGATAGTACCATGAGTTTAATTATGATATGCGCTGGTGAAATTTGGCGACTGAAATTAATCCGACAATTTTGCTAAGTCCTCCCCGTGGAAATAGCGGTAGATAATGCAATGGGATGCAACATTTCTTCGCAGCGCCAATAAATCGAGTTGATCAAAAAGAACTCGGTCGCCGACGATTCGCGCCACTCTCTGCTGGGATGCGGTCAAGTGGAAGGCGTTGGCACTTTGGTGTCCCGGTCTAGAGCTGAGAACAAAAATTCATGTGAGGGCGAACTTGCGCCTTGAAAAGTTGCAAATGCCAAACTTTTTACAGGTTAATTTAGCCTTCTTTTCCAAGTGACCCCGGAACTCTACGTCAGACAATATGCCGATGACGAGGATTCCGATGCTGGCTGAAATTTAGGAGATATAAAAAAGGGCTTTATTATAGCTGTAAACGCGTAAACCTGTGGCTTCTGATGCTTAAACTAGACTAGAGTCGTCTCCACTTCGAGATTTTGTTTATTAAAGACTCGATTTCAGACACTTGATAACGTGTTACCGAAAAATATAAGCACGGCTAGTTTAAGAAGCATCACCAGTGTTATAACTAGTAACAGCAACAAATAATTGATGTACAGAAGAAACAGCTAGTGCTCCACGCAGCCTTATGAAACTAGCATTAACAGACTCGAAGTCGGACTATGCACCGTCTATTACAACCTTGATGCTCTGCTCTGCAAGAAAACTGATGATACAACTGCAATATTTCTCGGGAAGTCTATAGGACGGAAGCTTCGAAAAAAGCGCTTTGTGCAAAGCCCATCGAAGGCTTTCACAATAAGAGGGACGCCATCAAGCCCACCGATTTGTTGACGTCCAGCTAGGGGAGTGTTTAGTACACTAAGCGCTGTGTAAACCGCACATCTAGCATGGAGCAATCACACCGCGGGATGATCGACGGTGTATACCCCCCCATCATCGAGAGTCGTGTTGGACTTAAGTAAAAGATTGACTTTCTCCTTTGCGAAATTAGCCATTCTCCCTGTGCAGAGATGGAACAGATAGCTCACAGTAGTTCCCTCAGCCTCAGCAAAACACCGTAATAAAATAAGATGTAGAGACGGGAGCTTGAGTAGCTTAAAATTTTTGAATCGCGTCCAGTCAGTCAACGAAAGACGAAAAGTACAAAATAATTCAAAGTCTTATTTTTACATTATATTTTTTTAGGTTTTGTAATTATTTATAGGTTTTTTACCAAAATAAAGAAATAGCAAGAAATAAAATACTTGCGGTACTTACTCTTTTATTTATTGGGAATATCGTACCCAATTTAATTATATACAAAGGCAAGCTCAGCCCTTGAACCTTGCGACCTAAGATCGAAACTCGTTTGCCGGTGTGTAAAGAAGAAACCCAAACTTCCCTGCAGAAACCCAGCGGGATTAATACAAATAGAAACAAAAAAACATGCATGCAGCTTACTCGCGACAGAAGTGAAACCTTCAAAAGAAATCAAATATAAAAGACAAATACTTTACGGTAAATGATTTATTTAATATTATAATTTAAACTACAGTTCGGCATAAAATATAAGAAAAATTAATTTTATAGTAAATAAATGTAACAATCATTTTAATATATATATATATATATAATACACATAGATATTATATTTTTTTCGAGTAAAATTATAATAGCGTCACCTACTTAACTCTATAGATAGTCACTTTATGGAACATCTGATTGACACCAAAAGTGGTACGTAAAATAGACGCTAGATGTAGATGGCCTGAATTTGTGAAATCATGAATTTTTAATGAATGTTTTTCAACATTTCAAAAAAAAAACAAAGTTCTATTACTTTTCCTGCAACGCTTCCCGCGCTTTAAATTTAAAACGATGGATCTTAACCGTGGACATTTGCGCGCTATGATCTATTACGATTTTAAATTTGATTTAACCGAACATTTAAGTTTACAATGGTAGTTTGCAGAATTCAAAAGGGGTAAAAATAACCTTAAAGAAGACCAAAGAACCGGGGCCCCGCAAACAGCAGTAATGGCTGAAAATGTAATAATGTCCTCCTGACCGAATTTCGGCCACGGCGGCCTGTCTCAACGGAGGCTAGCCATCGGCGCAAGACAGGATTATAGTGCCCAAGTGTATGCGCAAGCACAGGTGCACTCTCTGTTCCCTCACTCTCGTAATGCGATGGGACGGTAAACCGACACGACCGGAGAGAGAACAGGCGCAGGACCAATGGCTGTACGTGCTTTCCGAGGCACGGGGGTGAGACACCGCCAACTTCCTGACTCCGGGCAGTTACTGAGAATTTCTTGACAGAAAAACTCAATAATTGATTTTTCGGCCCGACCCGGGATTCGAACCCAGGACCTCATGATCAGCCTACTACAACCACTAGACCAACGAAGCAGTCAATGCTATAAATGTATAGACTACTGAAATGTTGGTGCGAGAATTAACCCCACGAATCACATATACGGACATCGAAAAGATTGTAGTCATTAGTTCGGGGAGCATTCATACTATCCTACAATAACATCTTGCAGTGAGGAAGCTTTGTTGTCGATGGATCCCTCGTTTGCTCTTCGAAATCGAAAAGTAGACTCGTGTGGTTTGGTGCCATGAAATGCGTCTTGAAAACGGGGCATCTAGGTGTGTTTCAGAAATCGTTACTTGTGACGAGACATGGATCTATCAATATGATCCGGAAAATAAAAGGTAATCTTTGCGACAAAACTGCAGAGACCTCGCAACAGTGCCAAAAAATGATGGCAATATTTTTTTTAAATGGAGCGGACTTTTGTCGACGTCAATGCTGGAATATTGTAGGTCAGTGATCTCTGAATGGTATACTACAGTTGCATTATCCAAAGCTTTTCAAGCTGTGCGGGAGAGAAGATCAAAGACCGGGCTTCGGGGAATCATGCTACACCACGATAACGCCTCTTCATATACCTCCCTTAGAACAAAAGCATTTATTGAGGTATCTGGAGTTAATACTCTAAGTCAACCACCATACAGCCGTGACTTAGCGTCCTTGTGATTTCTTTTTGTTCCCAAGAGTCAAAGAAAAAATAAAAGGCTAGTTTTTTTCAAGCTCCGAAGAAGCCGTGGTTGCCTACGAAGAAGCGATTTCCGATCTGTCAGATCAAGACTTGCAAAAGTGTTTTCAGAGTTGGTTTAGCCAATTGGAACTTTGTATAGTATCAGTAACTATCGTCCTATTTAATGATTTCTTATATTTACGCGAACACTACACATTGAAATAATACTAGTTTTACGGAATTTATCGCGTATATTTAACTTTTTAAATACCCGACGTTTCGAACGCTTTACAGCAATCATGGTCACGGGCGGGACTGAGATGTTCAACGTCCAGATGTCATAGTTAACCGCGGTTACCATAGATTAAAATTTAACTTTTGTTCCGATCTACACAGTATGAACTTATGGTATCTTGAAGTCTTGCAGTTGTATGCTTGGGTTTTTTTTTTTTTGATTTTCCACCAAGGAGTGTACCGTCCTTGACGGGAATTTATTGACATTTTTACACAATAGGTTACATTAAATGGCTTACACCATATTTAGCAAGCTGTTATTCTCTAAGACAAGATAACTAACATCAATGCGATTTGATACATTGATTAGGTATCGGTCCATTTAATATTATCACTATTATAAAATTATTTTTCACTGAATGAAATTATTAATAACAATATAAATTTGTATAATTATTCCCAGTAGCATTACATATTTTAGAAAATTAGAAAGAGTACCGAATTAACAAAAAAAAAACGAATAGAAAAAATTACAAAATTAATATAAATATAATACAGGGTATTCTTATGTCTACTGCTTATACTTTAGTCCTTAGCTTATAATTTATTAACATTCATTAAATTTGTGCCTTATTATCAATAATATAATATGAGTCATTAGGTTGTACAGATATGATTAGCAAACGAGCATAGGTAAATGAAAGAGATTTACTTATGTTATATATACAAGAAAGGTGAGAAAATAAGATTTAATTTAAGTAAAATACAAGGTATTCCTATATCTATTGCTTAGGAGTTAGACTATAGCTTATGATTTATTAACAATGATTAAAGCTAGTGTCTTATAACCAAAATAATGTATGCAACGATTCGTGCGAACGTGATTAGCATATAAAAGAGAATTATAGAGAAGTTGTACATAGCCTTATACAGTTTTTTTTTATTATTATTATTACCAGAGTAATTTTAGATTTACATATTGTATTCTTAAGAACAAAGATAAAGTTTGAAAGGAGGAGTGATAATTATATATGTTAACTTAAATTATAAAAGTTATTAGAAAATTTATACACAATTTATATCCTATGTATATTAGTTTAAATAATTTACAATTTATTGAATCCTTTAAGCTTATCTATGATGTAATTAATAAATGTAACGAAGGATTCAATAGCACTTTGTTTATTTGAAAGTTCCGTTACACAGTACGATGATATACGTAGATTGCTACAAAGCATCTCGTGTCTTAGTCTATTGTACTCAAATCTAGGACACTCCCTCAACAAATGAGTTAACGTTTGAGTAGTGGTATTGTCACAGGGGCAGAATGGATCGGCAGCGATTTTGAATCTATGCAGATATTCCTTGTGGTAGCCATGACCTGTTAAAGCCTGCGTTAATTGAAATGATACTTTGGTTGCTTTCCATAGTGCACAAATGTCCGTCAATTTTGGGAGTAATTCTTTTGTGCGCGCTCCTTGTTCCGCGCTTTCATATCTTGTCTGCCAAGTTCTCCAAGTTTTTTCCCTCATAGTCCTTTTTACAAAGCTCATAGGGAACTTCGCGTAGTCAGGAGTTTTGTGTTGTGTGGCAGCGCCTTTGGCTGTCTCATCAGCAATTTCGTTACCTGCGTCGCCCGCATGGCCCTTAACCCATGAGAATATGAAATTAAGATCCACTTGAGCAGCTGTATATATTGTGTCATGAGTCTTTGCCACAATGGGGTGGGTGTTAGATCTCTTTTGGAGTGCTCTCAGTGCCGCCTGAGAATCACTCAAGATCTGTATAACCTCCTTGCAGCCCATGTGCATCCTTGTGCCCCTTTGGTGTCTTTCGTCTCCTTGCTTCAATCTCCGGTCCAAAGTCCACTCGCAAGCCTCTTTAATCGCCAAGAGTTCCGCTTGGAACACAGAGCAGCTAGTATGTAGTTTCAGCCTCTTTTTATATATAACTTTTGAACCTTCGAAACAGACGAAAGCCGCTCCCACACCGCCATTCTCGAGCTTGCTTCCATCTGTATAGATTCGAATAGGCGCTGTTTCCTGTTCTAGATTTTCCGAATTCAGGTCTGCACACTCAATACTTATTCTTTTTGACGGATGTAATAACTCATGCACAGGTGTGGGCCTCTCATATTGTATATCCCTTGGTATTAAGTTGGTTGCCCCTTTCAGTCGAACTGTCTCAACTTCATGTACCTCCAGGACCCTGAGGTCCAAGGGCACAAATTGAGCCAGAGCGACCGCTGCCACCGTTGAGACTGTCCTAAAGGCCCTAATTGCCTTTATTGCAAATCCCCTTTGGGCCGACTCCAAGAGCTTCCTTACATATCGTTTTTTCGCCGCTTGACCCCAGATACCTGCTGCGTATGTAATTGTAGGCTCAATGACCTGTCGATAGATGGTTTGCACGTTATCGGGATGGGCTCCCCAGGTTGGTCGGGTGTAAATGCATAGTTTGTTGAAAATTCGCATAGCCTTCCCAACAACGTACTTAACATGATCAGCGAACAGAAGCTTTCGGTCAATGATCATGCCTAAGAACTTAATACTCCTTTGAAACGCTAAAGTGTGTCTCCCCATTATAAGGTGTGCTTCTTCAGCCTTACGCGTGAATGCAATGGCTTGCGTCTTAGTGGGTCCAAATGTCAATTTGACACTTTGCCCCCATTCCAATATGATTTCCAGAGCGCGATTGGTATTTGTTTGTAGGGTATTTACATCCTTTGCGGAGACGATAAGTAAAACATCATCCGCAAAGGCTTGCAAATGACATCCACTCGGAAGTTCAGCCTCAAGCAACTCGTCCAGTATCACGTTCCATAAAATGGGTCCACACGCTGAACCTTGTATGCAGCCCTTGGTGTTGTTCTTAGTAACCCGCGCTCCTGCGTATTCTAATGTAACTGTGCGGTTCGTCGTATAGCTCTCTATTAAGTGGAAGATGTGCTTGGGGCATCTTATAGCACGTAGTCTCTCGAATAGTGCGGGCCACCACGCGTTGTCAAATGCGGAGCGGATGTCTAAAGAAACGCCCAGCACCTGTTTGCCATTCTTCTTAGCCGCTTTTACGATACTGAGTGCCGTATCTATAGCTGTAATCGTGCTGGTTTGTTCCTTGAAGCCAAACTGTCGCCCGTTGAGTAGTCCCGCTTTGGTTGCGTAATATATGAGACGCTTAATGTATAATTTTTCGAGCAATTTTCCAAAGACTGGCAAGAGTCCTATAGGGCGGAAGGAGCTTAATTCGCTATAATCAGTCTTGCTTGGCTTTGGTATGATTTTAACTTCGGCTCTCTTCCACTGCTGAGGAAAGTGATGGAGCTCTAGACACCTGTTCATGATTCCCGTTATAAGTTCTGGGTAATTAATAGTAAATTGTAGGCAGATGTCAGATGTCAGACCATCAATGCCGGGTGCCTTCTTAGGATTCATCCATTTGAGATGTTCCAAAACCTCCTCGACAGCGAATGGGGGTTCATCTACTCCATCTGGCTCATTCCCGATTCTGGATCTAAGAAACTGGTGTTGGTGTGTGTCATTATCTGGTGTATCATCACCGTAAAAGTGATCCAGGAGTGCTTGGGCCGTCTCCGTTTCGCTGCTGGTGTAATTGTCACCAATTTTTATGGTGGCTGGTGGCCGCTTGGGTGCAGTGTCCTTCAGAAGTCTATTCGTGAGAGTCCAAACGTTTTCTTTTGTTTGTAGTTCGCAGAACTCTCTAAAACTCCTGGAAGACTCCGCCCTCAGTTCCTCCGCATATATTGCCTTTTTTATTATTTAATTCCTCTGCTAGTTGGTCTAGAGGCAGATTCCGACGTCTCATTCGGTTTAGTCTGTGGTGTAACTGGATGACTTCTTTTTTGAGGTCTGTCAGTTTTTCCGTCCACCATAACGGGCGATGCTTCGTCAGGGATCGGCCTTTCTTTGTCGGCATAGATTCTTCACACGCTTTATGAATGATCCCGCAGATGTCATCAATCAATTTCTCCAAGCCAGCTGTGTTCAGCGATCCGATGTCTCTCTCCAATATATCTGTATTGGTCATAAGCGTGTGGAGTGCATCCTTGAATATTCCCCAATTGGCCTTGTTGCTGTTGTACTTAAACGTGGAGTTGGTTATCGATGAGGAGTTTAAGGAAGAATTCTCAGTCGCAATCTCGTATTCCACCGCATTATGCTGCGATGAAGGGCAGGCGTTGAGGTTGACCTTCCACCCGACTACACGGTCAAATATGTGTCCATGGGCCAATGTGAGGTCTATTATAGAAGTCCGATCACTGCCGTGTGTGACGGTTTCAAAGGTGGGTGAGGTACCGACATTGCAAACGAAGAGATCATTTGCATGTGCCAGCTCCACTACCGCACATCCTCTAGGGTTATTGGTCTTACTGCCCCATAGATGGTGCCATCCATTAAAGTCACCGCCAATGATGGTATTTGGGCATCGGGAGATCTTGAGAAAATTATCTATATGCTCTAATGTGTTATTTTCGTCTGAATTCGGTTCGATATATGCGGAGGCTATGAGTATTTTATGACCGCCACTTGTGAATTGAATAACGCAAAGATTTGAGTTAGAGTATTGTGATATACCAATCACCTGACCGCAGCCTGGTTTAGTGAGTATACACGCCTTAACTCTACCTTTTCCACCAAATTGATGTATGTTGAGTCCCTGAGTTGGTCGCACCTCATTTCCTGAGCCAACATATGGCTCCGACAGCAATGCAATTTGATAGCCACCTGCCATGAAAGAAAGAATAAATTCATGTAAACTCTTTTTTGAACGATCAATGTTACACTGTATAATTTTTATATTTTTATTAATTAAATCCATAATCAATTCTGTTAATTATTCTTTCTCTCATGGCTCTCAGTTTTGGACATTCCAGTGACATGGCAGAGTGGCGGACATCCGCTTTGGTACCAAATTTATCATTATGAGATGCACAATTAGCGCATATGGCAGTACCTTGTTTGCCCTTATCAGGACATTTTTCGCCTGTGTGCTCCTTACTGGAACAGTGCGAGCATTGACTAGTTGCGGCTGTACAGTACTTTTTAATGTGCCCAAACTGCAGACACCTGTGGCACTGCAGAAAGGGTGAGAATTCGCTGATGTGTAATCGCTGGTAGTCAACACTGATTTTGCCCTTTTCAATGAATTTACGATAGAGTTTGGGTGCCACAAGAAACACTGCGTTGTATAGCCCCGGGATTTTGTTGCTACGCCTAAATCGGAGGCGCATGTCATCGTCCTCAATAAAAGCCTCTTTCAACTCTGGGTTCTGCCCCCCTGACAATACCAGCTATCTCTTCAGCTGGTATATCTTTGGATATACCCTTTAGTATAATCATTGGCCGCAGTCCCTTAGCTGGCTCAACACTTACGTGCTCAGACGATTTTAGCTTTTGTAGGGTGTCGTTACGTTGTTCGGTTGTGTCAAATTCTACTCTAAGTTTGTGATTTGACACTGCCTGAACCCTAGCTGGTGCATAATTCGCTGTGCGGTACGATATGCTCTTCTTAAACGCCTCGATTGCTTCCTGTCGTGATTTGGGGGTTACCTTTGGGGTCACCACGATAGCCGGCTTGTTGTTAGATGTACCGCGGGCTTGTGGCATAGTGGTCACGCTGGGAAGAGAGCCCGGCCCACTGCTGGTCGCAGCGGCCTGGGCGTATGAGGCAGGCCGTGCCTGCTGTTGAAGCTGCGTGGTTATTTGGCCCTTTAGTTTGGCCATCTCGCTCCTGACACAGGCGACGATGTCAGCCTTCAAGTCGCTGTTCATGTTACTCTGGGGGGCGGGGGCAAGCACTGTAGAGATGCTTGTCAGTTTATGCCCACACCTTCTGATCTCCTCGGCAGCTAGGTTGATGAGTCTCTTCTTTGCGGCGGTGACTGACTTGCCGTCAGAGACCGCTTTAGTAATGCAGTCAGAAAGTTTTTGTATCGTCGTGACAAAAGTATCGATGTTGGTTATTTCCTCGACATAGGCCGGTAGGAGGGAGGGAGTGGTTTCACTAGTATGATCCTTAGAAGTAGTAGTGGCCATCTTGCTAATTAATTAGTCCAAGTTTAAAAAAAATAAATAAATAAATAAAATAAAAAAAATGTTTATATCGTCATCGGAGGGGGGGGGGGTTTCCACTACGGAATATCACTGCACTGATAGTACTATCATGTAATAATGTTTAAGAGTCTCAAAGTTCACACACACGGTAATAGTCAATTTTTACACATATGAAACTAACAACCTAGTCAAGAATTACGTAATTCTATCCAATATCTATCGGAACGAAGGTCGCGATGATAAAAAAGAGTCAACAGCCGTGACGATCTCCGCGGTAAAAAAAACCACTCGAGATCCTTCGATTTTTGCAACACTACACTGATAATTTTTTTTTCCCTTCACACTGTGTTCACTAAACCACCAAAGAATACTGTCGTGATGTATTGATTAGTTATATTTCATTGCGAATATTTCTGATACAACGCGTGCGGCCCCACCGAACGGCCGTGAGCGACCCGTTGGTCATTGGTTAAGTTAATTAAAAGTTCAATGTCCGGCCCTCACGTGGCATAGATGGTCATGTGCGGACGTGGAGTTAGATTTGCGAGGACCTACAACTCGACCGCCTGAATGTAGCACGGTGACGTTCAAGTAGTGACTAAACACAGCACGGAGGCACGCGAAGCGGGCTTGATGCGTGTTATCGTAGGTCAGCGTCAAAGTTCGTTACAAATAAGTTTGAAATGTTTTCGCTTATATCTTACAATTCTCTTTGTATTTCACAATTCCGATTTCACCATTGGAAAGAGCACTTTTTAACGAAAATAATGATTATAAACACATGCTATAGCAACTAAAATTTACTGCACTTTAGATTTAAAATTCACGGAGCGAAAATAAACACGTCTTATACTCTCGGGTATCGGTCGGCCCCATTTGTATGCTTGGGTTGGGATTTAATTTTATTTATTATAGGATCCCAAGCATATGGTAGCACCCAGCCATCTTCTCTATTGAAATTAGGATGTTTTTTGATTTCAATAGCCTCGCGAATCGTCCTTGGTTTTCCACACCGATTCCTTCCAAGCGTTAGAAACTTCGGGTATTTAAAAAGTTAAATAATTCTTCTTAACTTCGGGTTCTGATAACTTCGGGTATTCAAAAAATGTAATATCTATGTGTATAATATATATATATATATATATATATATATATATATATATATATATATATATATATATATATATATATATATATATTATACACATAGATATTATATTTTTTCGAGTAAAATTATAATAGCGCCACCTACTTAACTCTATAGATAGTCACTTTATCGAACAACTGATTGACACCAAAGGTGGTACGTAAAATAGACGCTAGATGTAGATGGCCTGAATTTGTGAAATCATGATTTTTTAATGAATCTTTTTTTTTCAATATGGTTAATTGTATTAGTTAAATTTTTTTTACTGTTTACTGCTGCCACTTCTATATGAAAATCAAAGATTATGAAAAGTGAACCATACAGATGGGAAACGCACGAAACTACCTACTACCGGTTTTGATAGTTCTTTTTTATTCAAATTAGTATTTCTTGGACTCATTTATTTTATTACTTGTTTTATTTAAACAGCATTTTTTCTGTCTGCCGTTTAAATATATCCGACCATGTTTAAAATACCTAAAGAAGTCTTCGACATTGTTAATGTACTTTTAAAAGTACGGGACAGCCACTTATTTATATGACGAGTAGATTAATTTAATTTCCTTTCGAATGTTTATACCTTTTTCGATATACCTTACATAGTACTCGCTAATTACAAAAAAGATTTATATCAATTTTAACCATTACCTGGGACACTCCATAAGTTTTGAGATACACTAAAAGTATTCTACATTCTATTCATATTTATTTTACATCTTTTCAAAATATTCTCCATCATGCTCTATAATAATAATAATAATATTTATTGAATCCAAACATACTTTAAATAGAAACAAAAAAACTTATAAAATTACATTGACAAGACGTAATCTAACTTAATACTATATTATCTTTAGCAACTGTGCTAGGTCACAGACCTGTGTTACACAGTTTGCATTTTTACCTATCTATATTTAATAATTTCTGAGTTTCCTCATAAGATAAAGCCATTGAAAACTTAGTTAGAGCTTGCTTACATTTAAAACCTGTTAGTGTATATATAGTTATAATATTGCAAATTTTTTATAAAGATAAAGTCCCAAGAAGTTTATTTGTCTTTGAGCATAGAATGTGTAAAATTTATCTGGTAGTATAATTCGATCTTTCCTTCTTAGTTTTTGAAATAAATTTAAGTCACAGTTATTGTACTTATGTGTTTTAAGTACAGATTTTAAAATAAATAGCTGTTGGACTGTCAGCACATTTACTTCAGAGAACAAATTACTTGTGGGAAACTTAAAAGGTTTAGAAAGCATAACTTTTAGCACAGCTCTTTGAGATCTTTCAATGCGCAAAATATAAGTTTTGTAAGTGCCTCCCCAAGCAGTATTACAGTATGACAATAGATAATGGCAGAAAGTATTATATATGACTTTGATTAGTTCGATTGGATATGTCTTAAACGTTTAAAAACTGGTATAAGTTTTCTAATGGTACTTTTTAATTTGTTAATATGCTCTTGCCAATTTAGAAGGTAATCAACAGTTACACCTAAGTATTTAACAGATTCAACTTTTTCTATGGTCTGACAGTTACATAAAAGTGAAGAAGAGTTATCACACATATGTGTTATGTGCTTTCAGAGAATAAGAGTCAATTTCATGTTGACCTATCGAAGATTTTATAAAAGTAAGGTACTTCGTCTTATCAATTTTCAAGGTTAGAAAATTGATTCTCAGCCATGACATAACCTCATCGAGACCTATCTGTGCTAAACCAATGCATTCACGCCAGGAGGGTGCATGAAACAATAAAACAGTGTCATCAGCATAGGCAACGATTTTACAGCTGCACATTTTAAGCCCAGATAGATCACTCACATATATGAGGAATAAGGTAGGACCAAGTATACTACCTTGAGCTACGCCATAGTTATTATTGGTATTTTCACCGGTTAAGCTTCCAATTCTTACTAGTTGAGATCTATTTGATAGGTAACTTGTGAACAACTTCAGATATATACCCCTGATACCTAGTTTTCCATCTTTGCTAATAGTATCGGGACAGAGACGGTATCGAATGCCTTTGCGAGGTTCAGAAAAATTCCTATACATTTATTATTACTGTCAACATGTTTTACAATGAACTCTGTTAGAGATAAAACTGCTTCTTCAGTAGATTTTCCATTTACAAAACCAAATTGATTTTCAGGAATTAAGTTATATTCAAAAAAATATGATTTTAAACAATTATTTAATAAATGTTCTAAAACTTTAGATAGTGCTGGCAGAATAGAAATAGGACGGTATTTAATAATACTAGTTTTTACGGAATTTATCGCGTATATTTAACTTTTTAAATACCCGAAGTTTCGAACGCTTGGAAGGAATCGGTGTGCAAAGCCAAGGACGATTCGCGAGGCTATTGAAATCAAAAAACATCCTAATTTCAATAGAGAAGATGGCTGGGTGCTACCAAATGCTTGGGATCCTATAACAAATAAAATTAAATCCCAACCCAAGCATACAACTGCAAGACTTCAAGATACCATAAGTTCATACTGTGTAGATCGGAACAAAAGTTAAATTTTAATCTATGGTAACCGCGGTTAACTATGACATCTGGACGTTGAACATCTCAGTCCCGCCCGTGACCATGGTTGCTGTAAAGCGTTCGAAACGTCGGGTATTTAAAAAGTTAAATATACGCGATAAATTCCGTAAAACTAGTATTATTTCAATGTGTAGCGTTCGCGTAAATATAAGAAATCATTAAATAGGACGATAGTTACTGATACTATACAAAGTTCCAATTGGCTAAACCAACTCTGAAAACACTTTTGCAAGTCTTGATCTGACAGATCGGAAATCGCTTCTTCGTAGGCAACCACGGCTTCTTCGGAGCTTGAAAAAAACTAGCCTTTTATTTTTTCTTTGACTCTTGGGAACAAAAAGAAATCACAAGGACGCTAAGTCACGGCTGTAGGGTGGGTGACTTAGAGTATTAACTCCAGATACCTCAATAAATGCTTTTGTTCTAAGGGAGGTATATGAAGAGGCGTTATCGTGATGTAGCATGATTCCCCGAAGCCCGGTCTTTGATCTTCTCTCCCGCACAGCTTGAAAAGCTTTGGATAATGCAACTGTAGTATACCATTCAGAGATCACTGACCTACAATTTTCCAGCATTGACGTCGACAAATGTCCGCTCCGCTAAAAAAAATTGCCATCATTTTTTGGCACTGTTGCGAGGTCTCTGCAGTTTTGTCGCAAAGATTAGCTTTTATTTTCCGAATCATGTTGATAGATCCATGTCTCGTCGCAAGTTACGATTTCTGAAACACGCCTAGATGCCCCGTTTTCAAGACGCATTTCATGGCATCGATCCACACGAGTCTACATTTCGCTTTCGGAGAGCAAACGAGGGATCCATCGACAACAAAGCTTCCTCACTGCAAGATGTTAATGTAGGATAGTATGAATGCTCCCCGAACTAATGACTACAATCTTTTCGATGTCCGTATATGTGATTCGTGGGATTAATTCTCGCACCAACATTTCAGTAGTCCATTTATTTACAGCATTGACTGCTTCGTTGGTCTAGTGGTTGTAGTAGGCTGATCATGAGGTCCTGGGTTCGAATCCCGGGTCGGGCCAAAAAATCAATTATTGAGTTTTTCTGTCAAGAAATTCTCAGTAACTGCCCGGAGTCAGGAAGTTGGCGGTGTCTCACCCCGTGCCTCGGAAAGCACGTAAAGCCGTTGGTCCTGCGCCTGATCTCTCTCCCGGTCTTGTCGGTTTACCGTCCCATCGGATTACGAGAGTGAGGGAACAGAGAGTGCACCTGTGCTTGCGCATACACTTGGGCACTATAATCCTGTCCTGCGCCGATGGCTAGCCTCCGTTGAGACAGGCCGCCGTGGCCGAAATTCGGTCGGGAGGACATTATTACATTTTCAGCCATTACTGCTGTTTGCGGGGCCCCGGTTCTTAGGTCTTCTTTAAGGTTATTTTTACCCCTTTTGAATTCTGCAAACCACCATTGTAAACTTAAATGTTCGGTTAAATCAAATTTAAAATCATAATAGATCATAGCGCGCAAATGTTCACGGTTAAGATCCATCGTTTTAAATGTAAAGTGCGGGAAGCGTTGCAGGAAAAGTAATGGAACTTTGTTTTTTTTTTTAATATAGAGCAACTGGCTTTTACTTTTAAATAAATTTGCTTTTTTAGAAACGGGTGCGTTCCATTTTTAAATTTCGATCATCTCAAAATTTATTGAGTGACCTACGTACGAAGTTGAGGTTTGGCCGTTCTTCACTGCTTGTTTATTCCATAGGCACGCGACACCTTCGTACCTTGTTGAACCAAACACATAAGCGATGCCATTTCAGCGGCGTTTACGACTTTTTTCTTGCGAGCTTTGAGCTATAATGTAAAACAAAAAGAAATCACAAGGACGCTAAGTCACGGCTGTAGGGTGGGTGACTTAGAGTATTAACTCCAGATACCTCAATAAATGCTTTTGTTCTAAGGGAGGTATATGAAGAGGCGTTATCGTGATGTAGCATGATTCCCCGAAGCCCGGTCTTTGATCTTCTCTCCCGCACAGCTTAAAAAGCTTTGGGTAATGCAACTGTAGTATACCATTCAGAGATCACTGACCTACAATTTTCCAGCATTGACGTCGACAAATGTCCGCTCCGCTAAAAAAAATTGCCATCATTTTTTGGCACTGTTGCGAGGTCTCTGCAGTTTTGTCGCAAAGATTAGCTTTTATTTTCCGAATCATGTTGATAGATCCATGTCTCGTCACAAGTAACGATTTCTGAAACACGCCTAGATGCCCCGTTTTCAAGACGCATTTCATGGCACCGATCCACACGAGTCTACATTTCGCTTTCGGAGAGCAAACGAGGGATCCATCGACAACAAAGCTTCCTCACTGCAAGATGTTAATGTAGGATAGTATGAATGCTCCCCGAACTAATGACTACAATCTTTTCGATGTCCGTATATGTGATTCGTGGGATTAATTCTCGCACCAACATTTCAGTAGTCCATTTATTTACAGCATTGACTGCTTCGTTGGTCTAGTGGTTGTAGTAGGCCGGGTCGGGCCAAAAAATCAATTATTGAGTTTTTCTGTCAAGAAATTCTCAGTAACTGCCCGGAGTCAGGAAGTTGGCGGTGTCTCACCCCGTGCCTCGGAAAGCACGTAAAGCCGTTGGTCCTGCGCCTGATCTCTCTCCCGGTCGTGTCGGTTTACCGTCCCATCGGATTACGAGAGTGAGGGAACAGAGAGTGCACCTGTGCTTGCGCATACACTTGGGCACTATAATCCTGTCCTGCGCCAATGGCTAGCCTCCGTTGAGACAGGCCGCCGTGGCCGAAATTCGGTCAGGAGGACATTAATACATTTTCAGCCATTACTGCTGTTTGCGGGGCCCCGGTTCTTCGGTCTTCTTTAAGGTTATTTTTACCCCTTTTGAATTCTGCAAACCACCATTGTAAACTTAAATGTTCGGTTAAATCAAATTTAAAATCATAATAGATCATAGCGCGCAAATGTTCACGGTTAAGATCCATCGTTTTAAATGTAAAGCGCGGGAAGCGTTGCAGGAAAAGTAATGGAACTTTGTTTTTTTTTAATATAGAGCAACTAGCTTTTACTTTTAAATAAATTTGCTTTTTAGAAACATATAACACGGGTGCGTTCCATTTTTAAATTTCGATCATCTCAAAATTTATTGAGTGACCTACGTACGAAGTTGAGGTTTGGCCGTTCTTCACTGCTTGTTTATTCCATAGGCACGCGACACCTTCGTACCTTGTTGAACCAAATGCATAAGCGATGCCATTTCAGCGGCGTTTACGACTTTTTTCTTGCGAGCTTTGAGCTATAATGTAACTAATCTCATTTTCTCCCACGTTAAATATTATGAATTTATGTGTCTGTCTCTTTTTACTGTCGCTTTTTCGTTTCATAGACTTTCAAATAACAACGATGCTAAAGAAGTTTTCACTTCAAAAATTTGTAACCTAAATTTTATTATTTTCAGTATCTAGACGACCACAGTATTACAGGCGATATGAGTCTTTCAACACTTCGAAAGAATCTCGGTATCGTCTCCCAAGAGCCCGTTCTGTTCGACCGAACGATAGCAGAGAACATTGCGTATGGAGACAACACAAGAAACGTTCCTATGGACGAAATAATCAAAGCAGCTAAGGAGGCCAACGTGCACACATTTGTTGCTGCTTTGCCTTCCGTGAGTACTATATGATTGCTTGATTCTTATAATGGTCTTTTAGTTCATTTTTTCGGTTTCTACAATATTATTGTCATAAATTTATATATTTAAAAAATATTAAATCATCAATCCCTTCTAACTATGTACATTTTTTATTCGTTTACTCAATTTCCAGCGCAGCCCAAAAGAAATATAATACATTTTCGTTACTTATTTTGAGCCGATGAAACTCTTGATGGTAATCGCAATCAAATATTTTTGGCATATCCATTTCTATGACTACTCGTAACTCCTTAACTAGTCGTCGATCGAACAGTGAAAATTGTGCGAGTAATATAATAAAGTTAAATCTGCATATTGGTACGTTTAAATTTTCAGATGAGTAACTCGTCATTTCATTCAATATAGATTTTTCAAACATGGATGACGTATGTCTCGCTGCTACGACATTGTGTCCACTAATTATAAAGTTGTATGTACAGGAATTGTGTCTACTTAACTTTTATGGACTCACTAATATTTAAAATGAAAAAAGATAAAAACATAGCTGAAGAAGAAATACTTAGTATTAAGTAGAATATATAATAGTTTCGCTCTTGTGAAATTTATAATTTTAGCAGAACTTATAGTTTCTTGTATATTTTGTCAAATGAAGGTATTAGAGGAAATTATAACGGTAGATTAGCCACAAGAGTAGATTTTATCTAAATATGTGGATTGGCTAATTAAAGAAAATGATAGTTCACGTGTCAAGCGATTAATGACGAGAATGTGAACACCGATACGAATACACTGTACGTTGTTTTAACTCGTGCTATAAAACCTGTATAGTCTTCCTACTGTGCCCATAGACACTACGCTTTGCGGGCGGGTTGGCAGCCGCTGTTTTGTATTATTCTGAGTCGTTATCAGGAAGATGCTGGTACCAGTCGCGTGTGTCAGTTTCCCTCTGTAGCCTTATACGGCACCCACGGGACGGAATGGGGTGATGGAATCCATTTTGCCGTCCACACATAGCAACAAAGCGTGACGATTAAGTCGAACCTGTTAATTCGATCATCAGTCAAATTGACAATTTACGTTTTGATGAAGAGGAGGACGATAAATATTCACAATGTGATGCCATCTTATGTAAAGGGTTACGAGACGCGTATCGGTGCGCGCGCTTCGCAACTGTCGGGTGGACAGAAGCAGAGAATTGCGATCGCGCGCGCTCTCGTCAGGAACCCGCGCGTTTTGTTGCTCGACGAAGCGACCTCGGCTCTCGACACACACAGCGAAAAGGTAACATTATGTTTTGTCAGTACGAAGTTTATAATTAGTCTCAAGTTTAAACTCTCATATTTAGAGGAGTCTATTTCAATAAAATATACGAACAATTATGCAAAGAGTATGTAATTTGACAGCAAATGTCAAATATCGCACATAGTGGTGCCGCATTAAATCGCCGTCGATTGTTTGGTATATGGAGTGTAGAAGTAAGGAGTACAGACTGTGAATTAAAAAGTATCCATAGAAAACCGTTAAATAAGGGTGGTGCCACTATAGCTACGGGCTAAATTTTAAAACACGTGTCGTAAAATATTACTGGGATAGATGACATATTCGAGGTTATATTTACTAAATAAAATTATTTTAGATTTTAGAGCTACTGAGCAGTTTAGCAGAACACTTCAAACCGTCGACAACTGCTAAGTTTGTTTCATGCCAGTGGCTACTCCAGCGCTGTTGTGGAGAGTTTTTGACAGTTTTTGAATTGTTATTTACTGCTTACAGATGACCACTTTTTCAACTATTCTACTACGGGAGTTAGTATTCCTTACTTCTACACTCCATGGTTTGGTACTAATATGTAATTTGACTTTATGTTCCCATTTACATCGGTAATAATGCGGCAAAATTGTGAAAACATACTGATATTAAGTGACTGATACACCCTTAATGTTAGGATGAACTCGTCACCTATAATAAAGCTTAGTAGCTTGCATTTTTTCTTCATATAAGAATAACACAGTAAAATATTACTGGTAATTAGTTCGTAACGGGCTCATTACCAGAAATCGGGTCTTGCTTTTAGTAATAAATTCAATATTTGGTTATAAATGTAAAAGATTCCAAACCACCACACTATATTACGAGACAAATGATTTTTCTCTTTGCTTCGGTGCAGGTGGTACAAGAAGCTCTGGACCGCGCTAGTGAAGGCCGCACTTGCCTTATAATAGCACACCGCCTGGCTACCATTCAGAGCGCGGACATTATCTGTGTCATCGATAAAGGCGTGATCGCCGAAATGGGCACTCACAGGGAACTCATCGCGATAAAGGGAATCTACGCGCGGCTGTATGAGCTGCAATGCGGCTTCGTTGAGGAGTCCGAGGAGAACATCGAAAGCGGCGCTGCTTAAGTTGCAGAATGTTAAAATGCTTCATTCATGCTTGTCCCCACCGTTTCGTTTTCCGATAGACTGCTACAGTAGGCAAGTTAAATAGCGCATAGACCCAAATCGAGATGGCGACCTTATTAAAAATAATTCTAATTGTGAAATACATTTGAATGATAAACTATTTTTATAGTGGGATTTCTGTCCCCGTCGGCTCTAACATATAATCATCCTAATGATTTCTTATATTGACACGAAAACTAGACATTGAATAAAAGTATTTGAATTAATTTATTTTAATTCACGACGTTTCAAATGGTTTACAGAACCTATTTTCGCCGCAAGTACGTCCGATTAGATCAACCACAAATTCTAGTTAAATAACATTGGTTTCAAGGATGTTTCGCGAGTCTATCGAAATTATAAAAATCCAAATTCTAATATAGAAATTATAAACACCCAATTTCTAATATAGAAGATGGCTGGGTACTTGCAAGACTTCAAGATAGTATAAGTTCGTTCTATGTAGATTGGACCAAAAATTAATTTCACAATAGCTGAAGGTAGCTCGGGTTAACTATGAAATCCGGACGTCAAACACCTTAATCCCTTCCACCCCCCATGAAAATGGGTACTGTAAAGCACTTAAAATGTCGTGAATTAACATAAGTTAAATTAAAAGTGATAAAATCCCTAAAATTAGTTTTATTCAATATAGTCAACTTAAAGCTAATCATTGTCTCATGTTTGATTTTACCTCTTGTATAATGGGTACGTACATCATTACAAAGCATCGTGTATCGTGTGGGTAGCTATAAAAAATAATGCCATGACTTTTCTCATCATGTCTAAACATTGTTATGTTAGTCTAAGTCTAAGACAATGTTCTGCAAAATTAAGATTCATTTAATAAGCTTAAGTAAGTAGGAGAAAAATTTGTGCGAACAATCCGCTATAGATTTGATTGTTGATAGATAAATTGATAGATATCAGTGAGATAAATTGATTTGAAGTTTTTTCATTATGGTGTTAATACACCAATCGATCGATCGATGGTAGAATCGGTTGGTCGACGTCGATCGATCTCCTTGATTATTCGAGGATCCGCCCCGCTCCAACGACCGCTCCCTATTGTCCTTTTCAGAATACATTTTAAAAGGTGATGACGAGCCCAAAACCACATCGATTTATTGTCGATCAATGTCGATCAATGATTGAAAAACGTTTTACCGACCAGTAACCGTGCCAACAACAGAAAGCATTAGGTGGCAACCAGCCTCCACGACAAAAAAGGAGAACTTGACCGCCACAACGACACCAGTATTGCCGTCGTCAAGAAATGTCGGGTGTTTTGCCAGCACTCTACGTCCGTAAAAAAATTGCGTCGATTCTCATTCGCCATGGAGTAACTACGGCGCTGTTTGCATCATGTAGGATGTCGGGCTCGGCAACCCTCTGTATAATGGCGCGCACGCAGAGCTGTTGCGTTTTTATTGTACCCTACATATTATACGAGTACGTACGCTTGGTGTTTATAATAATGAAAAAGATAACAAAAATCCTAAAGATTGTATCACACTTATTTAAAAAAAGATCTTTAGGATTTTTTTTTCTTTTTTGCTTATTTCTTTCTTTTTTTCTAAAATAATACATTACAACAAAAGCTTCGTCGACGTCCATTGTATCGCCTGGCATAGACTGCCACAAAATGGCTTCAGCTTTAATCGGGTCCGACAACCGACTAGTGTGAACAATAAGAGTAGAAAGTAGAGTAAGAGTAGAGAGAAATATTAACGTTATAAGGCGGATAGACAATAGAGAAAGTGATTGCTGTAGTTCAGTTATTATGTAGTTATGTAAACACTCAAAGTAGGTAAAATTTATAGTAACGCGTATTATTTTCATTACTAATACTTTTGAAAAAGTGTAATTACTTTTTACGACATTTTTGGCATAAAGAGGCCTTTTACTAATTAAAGAGTAAAAAATTAACGTTCTGTAGTATATTAGATATTAATAAAGCACCGGATGATGCCAATTTATGTATAACGTATGGAGACAATAATAAATATTTATAAAGTTACAGCATATAAGGTCCAACTACTGGATACAGGGTTTCGTGCTCACTTCATATGTTTTCGAAATATGCTTTTTTATTCAGTCACGTTACCGCACAATGATTTTTTTTTTGTCAAACACGTGATAAATCTGTACTAACAGTTTAAAAAAAATCGAATTTAAAACTATTATATACAAATATTATTTCCACACGTTACTAATGTTACGTAAATGTACGTAAGTACGTAAAATGTTAAATAAGATAAATGTAAAAGATAACCGTTCTTCATGCTAAAAAATCCTTTATATAGAAGAAATTAACCGACTTTTAATACTTCTTTTAAATTTCCTATCCATAGAATACTATATTATGTATGTACTATATTATTCTATGTTCCTATCCCATAGAATACTATAATATACAATAGAATGGCTGTCAACCTTATTTTGTACTAGGGTCAGCGTCGCTGGGAGCATACATATAGCAATTACGTCATATTATCACTACTACAAACCGATTCGCTGTGTTGACAGACTGAGTAAATTTAAACATTTTAGACTTTTGATTAATGTTCAAGATCATCATTAAAAAAATCGTTTAAATTTCAATACATATTTATTTGTAAACAGTGTGCAATTTGGCATTTTCTAAATAATTTGCATGCGAAATTTGGAAACGATCGTATTGACAGTTATACGTGTCAATTGACTTGTTAGTGACATTTTAGTGGCTACACGGGCTCCGCCCACTCCTCCGTTCTATTACGTATGTATTATATTATTCTATGCTCCTATCCCATTTAGACATTCCTCAAACCTTCAACATTCCCTACTTACCTTATATATTATATCCTGACATTCCCCTATAAAAGACGGTTTTTCTATATAAAAAAATATACTAACGTCCCGCCCTGGCTCTGCCTTGATGGAATCCATGAATAAATATAAAGTAATAATGTAATATAATAAAATATAAAATATAATAAATATAATAATAAAGTTTAACATCAACGACCATTTATTTTATATTTTTTTTTTGATTTCAAAAAAAAATCTCTATAATTATGCCTATTCTGTTAGTGAATTTCATCATCGGTTCGACCATTCGGGAGATAAGCACGGACAGACAGATGGACAAAAAATTTAAAAATGGTTTTCCATGTTTTATTGGCATGCAAATACCTAATCCCTTTAGCTCTATTAGAGGCAGTTATTTCGATAGACACTGTCTGTCATGTATCTTAATATGGGATGATAGGAGATTTTAAGGTATTTTCTACGTTGAAGATAATTTTGTTTTTTTTTTTTAATTGAAAATTCGCTTAAGTGTAAATATATAAATATTATACAAATGGACCTAATAACTATAATTAATAATTTCATAATATAGGGAGCTTCGCTGTCTATGGCTTATTGTATAATTGATTTTTCCTAAAAATCAAGTATGTTTCTAATTTCGTAACATATTTTACTTCGATAGCTTAATTCCAGAATAAGAGGGCACTTCCATGCACATGATATAAGACAACATTTGCGGCGAAAAACAAAAATATTTATTCAGGCGCATAAAAAAATATTATTTTTCCATTTTTTTAATTGAATTTATTATTTTTTTACATCAAAACAAATAAAGGGTTTAAGTTGAATTAAAGAATTTTTTCGAGTAATTTTAAGTTAATTATGTACCTGAAACTGACTTTTCCTAAGCTCGTTCCTTGTCCAATTTCTTCCATTTTATTCTTTTACTTATTCCTTCGCCTCTTTTTTATAGAATAAGAGTTCTATGAAGCGCGTTTCATGGTAAGTTCAGAAGTTCCACACGGCTTCGAGACTGTTTTCATAGGTCTGATAAATCGATGAACGATACACAATTAAGATTTTCTTACTCTGTGATCGAAGTCAAAACCTATCGCAATAAAAACCTCTGGGGTATTGTACCTTTACCTTAATTTTTCCTTACAAACATCCCAATTCGATTGAACTTAATTGCTATCTAAAGAGTAAATATGTAAAAAGAACAATTGTAAATAGACAATTCAAATTATTTTAGAACTTTTTTGTTTGTGTTTTACGTAGTTAATAATATTAACATATTGAACATGTATGGCTTTACAAAACTGGTACCCTTACAAATTAGCCTCATACTCATCATCACAGCCCAACAACAACAACAAGTTGACTGTTGAACATAGGCCTTCACCAAAGATTGCTACAAAGCACGTTCCTCAGCCGACTGCATTGTTCAACTTCCTGTACTGCTTACCAGGTCGTCACTTCAACTAGTGAGGGATCTTGATTCATAGAAATATGAGAAAAGTGATAGTTCAGTTTAAATAAATAGAACTCATAAATAACAACTCTTGAACAATAAAAATATAACTAAATATGTGTACCGTGTAACCGAATACCATACAGAAAGCTCTTTATGTGGCCTACAAATCATTGTTTTTGATCTGCGTGTGTATATATGTGTAATTTATGTATATAAAACGTCCCATAATACATGTATATAAAACTCCGCGACACATGAAGAATTTTTAGTGTGGAGTAATGTTTTTTTTTTTTAGAAATCAAGATTAATTTTCTTTTATTTTATTAGATATATATGAACTATTAAAAACTGACATAATCAAAGTCTACATTCACCAACGTCTTCTAAAGTCTCTAGTAAAGAAAAGTTGGAAGAAGGAAAAAAGAAATAACCGGATCAAATAATTGTCGTAATTCTTCATACATGACCAATCTTTTTCTGCCATTTATAAATTGGCAGATTAATTGTTGAGCTTGGTAGACGAATTAGTGATGACGTCACTGTTTTTATGGGTCACAGGTACTTAGCTTAATTTATGTATAGTATAAAAAACATAGTCTGTTAAAATAAAAATAAATCGCTTGTAGAAAACCTGGTCTATTTTTAAAACTGCTTCAGACGTACTTTTTCAAAATCATTTGTCTACATGCAAAAA